GAAAGTATGGGATCCTCGGACCGGCTACCATCTTCTCATATGGTGGATATCAAAGGCAAGGGCATCCTATACGAGGATGTCGATGAACCGATCAAGCTTAGTGCAAGAATCCTTTGCTATAAAGGAATTCCGTATGTCTCTAATTGGAAAGATCTTAAATCCCAAGTAGCAGGATGTGGAGAGACTAGTACAAAAGATGCCAACTCAATGGGGGTCTTCAAGATAGAATCACTACAAACGATTTAGGAAATGGAAAGTTCCTTTTTAGTTTTACTTATGAGGATAAGTTGAATTCTGTTTTCAGGAAAGGTCTGTTCCATTTCAATTACTGCATGTTTGTTTCGGTGAGGTGGGAACCGATCATCCATGATGACTACCCATGAGTCATTCCTTTTCGGGTCTCGTTTGTCGAAATGCCATTGCATTTGTGGACGGATAGGAACTTGCGTGACATCGGTGGCAGTCCAGGTCGAGTGGACACTGTTGATCTCTCGGAGGGGCGATTGTTAATTGATATCGATTCGCGTAGACCATTAAAATTTAAGAGAAAAGTTCAGAGGCCTGAGGGGGTGAAGTCACCATTGAGATCAAGTATGATATGCTCTTTAAACATTTTTACAATCTGTGGCCTTATGTCACATGAAAAAGGCTATTGCCCTATGGTGATCAACAATTCTCGTGGTCCTTTGGAGAGAGCTCATATATTCGACCGTGTACAGCTCCCGCATGGTCCTACTGGTCGTAAGCCATTGTTGGGTGACTCTACAACTTCAAGAGATGATCATAAGGGACACAGCAATGCATACGGTCGCTTACCTTTGCTAGGAATATCCCGGATATGTTTAAAAAAGAAGGTCGAGAGCAGGGATCAATTTTCACGGAATCCTGGTTCAAACAATGGTTATGACAAGATAGACACAGTTCGTGAGGTCAACTATTCTCATTCAAGACCTGAAGATAACCAAGCAAAGCTTCAATCCAATAGGGCGATGCGGAGGAGGGACGAGTAGCCAGGCCTTATGCGGTATACTAATTCACGCCATGGAACAAAACCTTATGAAAGACGAGGCCGTGAAGACAGATTAACATGGCGTGCAAAAGAACGAAATCATGAAAGCTTTGAGTATTATAGTTCGAGGAAGGAGCCGACTTTAGTTTCCTATGAAAAAGCACTACAAGAGATGATGTGAGGCAAAATGTGACACACACACAACACGGTAGCGATGGCAACTCTACTGGCGGTTTGGGACATAGCAAGCGGTTAGCGAGTGCCATTGTATCGCCTGCACTGAGAACATGCATTGAGGAAAATGTTACGTTGCGAAACAAGGGTGTGGTGCGTCTGTTAACTTTCTCACCAAATGTATCCTCGGTGGTGGTTGTTGATACTCAATTTATCGGAGCTTTAATTGATATGGAGGTGCAGGCTGAGGATGGTGTAGTGATGATTTGTTTGATGAGGAGCTCCGGGAGCTGGAGGAGAAAATGTATTCTTCTAAAGGAATGGTTTCAACAAGCAGGGGACTCCCTTCAAAAGATAAACAAAAGGCTAGGAATAACAGCAAGAAAAACCAATCAATGGGTAACCCAGCAAATAAACTGGAGTTCCTCCATCGAGGTTCTCCACGCATTAGAGCGACCATATCCTCTGCTCATAAAGAGAGGCCAAGATGCTCCCATAATCGGTCTAAGAGATCATCAGAGAATGTCAACAAGGATGGTGGTTTGATGGGTTCCCATAATCCATCCCCCCATCATTAATGAGGACAATCATTTGGAACTGTCGAGGATTAGGAAACAACCTCACTGTTCGACGCCTAACGGAGATGTGTCAGAAGCATCGTCCAGGACTTGTGTTTCTCTCTGAGACGAAGAATAGGAGGCTGCTGTTGCAAGACATTCAGGACGACTTAGGATTTGATCATTTTTTTACTGTTGAGCAACTTAGACTCAGCGGAGGTTTAGCTTTGTTTTTTATGGATGAATTTCAAGTTAATGTTTTATTTTCGAATAACACAATGATTGATATTGAAGCAGTCATTGATGGAATAAAATTCTATATGACGTTTGTTTATGGGGATCCTGTTTTAGAACGTAGAGATCTAGTCTGGGAACATCTTACGTGTTTCTCAACAACAAGAAATGGACCTTGGTTTATGATAGGTGATTTTAATGAAATTACATGTCATGAGGAGAAGGAAGGAGATAGAAAACGCACAGACAGTTCATTTTTACCTTTCAAGCAAATGCTAAGCGATTGTGGTATGCTAGAGTTACCTTACAGGGAACATGCTATCCTGGGTAGAAAATAGAGCAGGGAGGACTACGGTCAGATGCCGCCTTGATAGAGCTGTTGGGAATAAGGACTGGCATAAGAAGTTCCCTTATTCCAAAGTGCAGTATATGAGACTCTGGGGATCGGATCATCATCCGATCCTAGCTGACATTCTTAAAAAGAAACAGAGAAGATCAAAAAATTTCATATTTGATAAAAGATGGCTGGAAAACGAGGAGCTCAGGCAGATTATACTTGAGGGATGGAAATCACCAGACCTCCCACCAGACGCAAGTATTATGGAGCATATTGCAAGTTGCCGACGAGCCTTATGTGACCGGAAAAAGCAACATAATCTGAATTCAGAGAGAAGTGTAGAGGAGTTGAAGGAAAAAGTAGATCAATTATCTTCAAAAGATGATGCCACTACAGAGGAGATTGCGGCAGCTTTAAAGGAACTGTCTGACGCTCTTAAGGTGGAGGAGATGTTCTAGAAGCAAAAGTGTAGGGTATTCTGGTTAAGGGAAGGAGATAGAAATACTAATTTTTTTCACGCCCTCACAAAGCAAAGGAGAGCGAGGAACATGATTACTCAATTACTGGATGAAGATGGGAATGCTGTAGAGGATGAGGAAGAACTGGTAGCCATCGCTACAAGCTACTGTAGACACATTTTCTAATCATCAAATCATGAGGACATAGAGGATGCACTATCTGAAGTTCCATTACAATTACGCCAGCAGATAATGAGAATCTAACAGCTCCGGTCACCGAGTGGGAGGTTAAATTGGCCCTTTTTGCAATGCACTCAGAGAAAGCTCTAGGGCCGGATGGAATGTCTGTGTTGTTTTACCAGGAATACTGGGATATTGTAAAGGATGATGCATGATTATCTTCATCTCACTCAACGACCTCCTTCTATGTGACGCCGCCACTTATTGCGGAGACCTTGGCAATGCGAATCGCCATGACTTTTGCTCTTCAGTGTGGATTCACCTCTATCTCGATCTTCTCAGATTCAAAAACTCTCATATGTCTCATTAAGTTAGGAGGAAGAACCTAGAGATAGCTATTCTCCTCAACAACATCCACCTACTTTCTCTGCAATTTAATTCTATTCAGTTTAACTTTATCCCTAGACTGGACAATGTAAGAGCTGACCTTATTGCCAAACAGGTTCTCTCTCGCTTGTAAACAATTAATTTAATTTAAAGATCATTACTTCACAAACAAAAAAAAAGTAAGACTTAACTCAAACAAAAAGTCTTTCCAACTAAACCCTGAAAACAAGGTTTTCTGAGGATGATGCCATCAGTCAAGTGAGCGAGAGGACATCAAACCGAACTTGCATCCCAAACCAGATATACTTGAACTGAGGTCAATGTTTAATTTGTTATATTTCCTTTAATTGTTTACTAGGATAAGACCTGCGCCTTGCGTAGAGTGAGTGTATATAGTTAAAATATAAAATTTTAGTATTGATAAATTTAAAATTTATATATGATTGTTTTTATATGTATTTGGAATTTTGGAGTTTTTATATAATTATCTATATGTAGGATCATAAAAAAATTAATTAGTACTGTAGCTCAAAACTTAGAATTTAGTGGGTCCGATTCATATATCTTTTTATTTTTCAGTGTTCGAGTGATGAAAAATAGACGGAGTGTCGCAGCGCTTAATTGGTAGAGCATTATTAAGTTTCCTAATGTTTTCTTAAGAAAGAGTTGGTAGAATATTTCCATTTAGAATATATAAAGTTTCAAAACTAATTTAATATAATTTATTATTTGTCTAATAATATCAGAAACAATATTTTAAAAAACCTTTTTTAAATAAAAAAGAGTTTTATAAAAAAAATTAAGATAAGTTTTAAATTATAATTATGTTTAACATAATATTATTTCTTCATACGATATGATATATATATATATTAACATAAACACCTATTAAAATAAAATTATTCATTCATATGATTTTATAATCATTTTAACTTATTATAAAAAAATTAGACCTTGATAACAATAGTTTATGTGAGATTTTTAACAGTTTTAGTAGTTTATACTCGTTTTGAAAATTTAAAATATAACAAATATTAAAAATATAATTCTTTTGTTATATATTTACTGTTATTATTTAATTTATTTTCATAATATAAATTTAACAAAGATAGTAGAGGCTATAAATTTTTTTTATCAAATCTTCATATTCAATCATTTATTGTCATATATATATATATATATATTATAACCATATTAGATAATTCTGTAAACTTCATTTAAGGAAATAATGGATAGCATTAATAATAGTTTTATGTCTAGTTTAATAAAAAGTATATTATATGTTTATATGGACCAACATATTTTCTAGTAAATTTGAGAAAAATTCTCATGATGACACGTGGCTACCAAAACATGTTGTAATGCTTCTAGGGGATTTTAGTTGTTGTTATTGATATGTCGAGACTTAGTCTTCCTAATCTTTAGAAACATCATCACTCTCTTTTTCCGTTGCGAAATTATTGATAAAAAAAAAAAAAACAGTTGCACTAAAGAAAAAGCAAAACAAAAATAAGCATTTTAAAGCCAAAAGAAAAAATGTTCTCTTTATGTTTTTGCTTTGGTTTTCAAGCATTTTTCAGTCCTCTATATTCTCAGAAATATTTTGAACTAATTATTTGTTCATATTTTTTCTTGCAACATTTATTATTTTAGTCAATTTTCTGGTGAGCTATATCCAGTATTAATTATTTATTTACGATCTCTCTCTTTTCTTGGTAGAGCATTAACAATTTGTCAGTACTATTAACTTTTTGTGGGTTTTACTCTGTAGACATTGCAATTATTTAAGGCAAGAAAACAAAGGCAGATTCAGACAGGCCACAAAAGAAGAAAGAATAAGAATAATAAACATGAAATTTGAGCTTGTCTTCATACCATTTCCGGGGATCGGCCATCTCAAGTCAGCCGTGGAGATGGCTAAGCTACTGGTCAACCGAGACGACCGCCTCTCCATCACCACACTGCTTCTTCCTTCCCTTCCCGGTGGCGAAGACGTTTCTTCCGCTTACATGGCATCCCTCTCCGCCGCATCCAGCAACCGTCTCCGCTACGAAATCTTATCCGGCGAAAACACTGATACGAGGATTCCTGTCCACATCGCGAACCAGAAGCCAAAGGTGAGACTCGCCGTTGAGAAACTGGTCGGCGACTACTCGAAGCTACGGGAGCCGCCGCGCCTCGCCGGGTTCGTCGTCGACTTGTTCTGCACTTTGATGATAGATGTGGCCAAGGAGTTTAGCGTCCCGACCTATTTGTTTTACACGTCTAGCGCAGGACTTCTCGGACTCGGGTTTCACGTTCAGACACTGTACGATGAGAACAGATACGAAGTGAGCGAGAGTGATTACGAAGAGTCCGAAGCAGTGTTGCATGTCCCGAGTTTGACTCGTCCTTATCCGGTGAAATGCCTTCCTCACGGCCTCGCGTCCAAAGATTGGCTACCGATCTTGGTAAGTCAAGCAAGAAAGTACAGAGAGATGAAGGGCATTTTGGTAAATACCACTGCTGAGCTTGAGCCTTATACGTTGCGAGTTCTCAACGGTGGTGATACTCCTCCTGCTTATCCAGTAGGACCACTTTTGGACCTCACCTCCAAGGAAGACAACAAAGGATCCGACATTTTAGAATGGCTCGACCAGCAACCGCCAAGATCGGTAGTGTTCCTCTGTTTCGGGAGCATGGGTGGCTTCAGTGAGGAACAGGCAAGAGAGATAGCCATCGCCCTCGAGAGAAGTGGCCACCGTTTCCTCTGGTCTCTCCGTCGAGCTTCTCCACCCGGAGAGTTCACCAACCTAGAGGAAGTTCTCCCGGAAGGGTTCCTTGAACGGACAAAGGATGTAGGGAAAGTTATTGGATGGGCCCCACAGGTAGCCGTGCTTGGGAAGCCGGCTGTCGGAGGTTTTGTCACTCACTGTGGATGGAACTCGGCACTGGAGAGTCTATGGTTCGGTGTCCCGACCGCGGCGTGGCCGTTGTATTCTGAGCAAAAGTTCAACGCTTTTGAGATGGCGGAAGAGCTTGGACTTGCGGTTGAGATAAGGAAGTATTGGCGCAACGACCGTTCCGTGGATCTAGTTAAGGCGGAGGAGATAGAGAGAGCAATCAAGTGTCTGATGGAGCAGGATAGCGATGTGAGGAAGAGAGTGAAGGAGATGAGTGAGAAATGTCATGCGGCCTTAATGGATGGTGGGTCGTCTCAGGCTGCATTGAAGAACTTCATTCAAAACGTGTTTGAGAATCTCGGGTGACAAGGATAGGTAGCGAATGGTCTTTTCAACGCTACTGAATGGTAGACCCAAGTTCTGTTCCCTTATAAATTTGCATGTCTTATGTGTGTGTGTGTTGTAGTGTTTTGAGTGGTCACAAATGGTTTTGGTTTGGTCATATATATATGATCATAACCGTGTATTTGGTTACTTCGCTGTGAAATGTTCTCTTGAGAAATATTGTGATAATTAGTGTTTAAAAATGCTTGTTCAGAATAGCTGTTGATGTTCGTTCATGCGTTAGATCTATCTTTCCTTTTGGATGTTAGAAGCTCATTTTTTTCCTTTTGTCATATGAATATTGCGCTTGGCCTTAAACAACAAAAGAACCAGATTTTCTTACACAATTATCACATCCTATACTAGGATGGATTGATCACCAGACCATGACAACGAAGAGCCTTAAGGAGAAACTACGCCGGATTGAACCCCGGAGCCTCAAGCCGACTATTTTGGACACATTACAACAAACACTGGACACTAACCACAATCTTTCACAAAGCAGCACCCTTCAACCAAGTAGCATAAACATAACTTGAATAGACAATCCTTTTCTTGTCTATCTATTTGTTGTTATAATGTATGGCCTCTCTAAAAAAAAAGAGTAGGGTTGGACATATAAACCAAATCCGAAAAACCGATCAATAAAAATGAATTTGAATCATTTGAATCCGATATAAATACCGAATTGATCTTGTTTTATGGTATTTGAATCAATTTGAACCCGACATAAATACCGAATATTCCATCCATAAGAGTAAATCAAACATTTGGCGGACGGGCGGTTAAACGCGTGGGTTAATGTCCAAAATAACCTTATTGCATTTACATTTGGTCAACTGATTACATAAATTATTTGGCATGAGCCGACATATGCAGACCCCATTTCTGTCCATATACTAAATAACTCATGGTGGAAACGTCTTCCACTTTTCCACTTCACAATTATTGATCTGAGAATACCAAAAAAGAATTTGATATTTGTCCATATGTTGTAATAAATTCAACCTAAATTTATAACTAGTAAGCATAAGAAAACTAGCATGTGTTGCCATAACTTAGTTAGATACACAACTAGAATGGTAGCCAAATAAGACCTGTAAGAATTCACTTATTCAACATCTATAAATGGGACTTATAAAAAACATCTATAAATGGGACATGTCGTGTTGTATATCACAGCCAAAGTATTAATATAGCAAAGTTATCGTTGCTATAAAATCTTATGATCAACAAGACATAAAATTTAACTCTAGCCATGGACATTGCTTTGGTTGAGATTATACGGCAAGATTCAAAAGATATTTTCAGTGACGTCTTGGATAAACTTAACAAGAGCAGCATGGGAGGACCCACCATCCATTACTGCCATGTGACTCTTGTCACTCATCTTCTTCACTCTATCTCTCACGTCGCTATCCTCCTTCATCAAGCACCGGATTCTGCTCTCTATCTCCCCTGCAGTAATCNTTATCTCCTCTGCTGCCATATATTCCCCTTGAAAATGATTCCTAATTTCCACCGCCAGCCCCAGTTCCTCCACCATCTCGAATGCGTTCAACTGTTGCTCAGCATAGAGCGGCCACGTGGCAACTGGAACTCCAAACCATACGCTTTCCAGTATCGAGTTCCAACCACAGTGAGATACAAACCCTCCAATGGCCGGACTAGCCAGCACGGCCCTCTGTGGAGCCCAACCTATAACCTTCCCTATTTCTGCCGTCCGTTGTAGGAAACCCTCCGGAAGAATCTCTTCAAGATTCGTAAATTCTTTGGGAGGTTCCGTCTTTTCAGCACGACGCAGACACCATATGAAACGGTAGCCACTCTGCTCAAGTGCGATGGCAATCTCTTTAGCTTGTTCCTCACTGAATCCTCCCATACTCCCAAAGCAGAGGAACACAACGGATCTGTGTGGCTGGTCATCAAGCCACCGTAGGACCTCCGTTTGCTCATCGTCGACCGAACCTAGACCAAGCGGTCCCACTGCATACACCGTAGGAAGAGGACTATCTCCACCGGAGACGAACTTCACAGCTTGAGGCTCCAACTCAGCAAACGTATTTATCAATATACCCTTCGTTTCTCGAAATTTTCTTGCGTGGCTCAAGACAACATGTAACCACTCCTTGTTTAATATCACGGAGGGGACACACTTCGAAGGTAAAGAACGAGTCAGAAACGGGACTTCCAACTCAGTGTCCACCTCTTTTAACTCGCCGACATCGTACTTCTCAACGTCGCAAAGATATTGCATATGAACTTGCAAGCCAAGAAACACGGCACTGGAAGGATAGAACAGGTAACTTGGAACGTCGAGTTCGTTGGCAACATCGATCATAGTCGTGTAGAACATGTCCACCACGAACCCAACAAGCTTACTCAAGTCGGGCCGGGACGGGTCATTAAGTTTAGCTACCGTGGCTCTCACAGCCGGTTTATAACTGTCCGTGTAGGAGCGGAAACTTGACTCGGTGCTAGGAGAGTTTGATCTATCGGCATCAGATAGGACGATGAAGCGTAGGCGGTCTTTAGACGTAGTGGAGAGAGAAGAGATGTAGGAGGAAAGGCTTAGGGCACGGAGTTGTTGTCTCGGAGGGATGATGATGACGGTGATGGAGAGATGGTCATGGCCCTCCACGAGGAGCTTAGCAACCTCCACTAATGGCCGAAGGTGGCCATGACCAGTTGATGGTATGAGAACAAGTTCTAGTTTCATTTTGTTTTTTCAGTATTGGCTTGGTGGATGGGAAAAAAATAATTTGGAGAGTATTTTCTTTGAGAAACTCAATTCTTGAATTACTTTTCTTCGAATTCATAGTAACAGAGTCGTACAACATCTTGCTTCTAAACATTCTACCCGTCAACGAAATTAGAAGATTAAATATTTCACTGCCATCTGTCTATGCTTATTTAATCAGCAATGGCAAGAAACTCGATAGATAAAATAACTATAAATTTAGCAATAAACCCAATCGACAAATACAAAAATAGAGTTTCTTATTACCAATAAAGTTGATATATTGTCGGCCAGGTTACTCTACGATGCATTGACATTAGTTAGGGGCCGGCAGGGGCCAGCACGGCTAGCATTGGCTGACCCAGTAAATAATTTAACATGTGACACAATACATATTTGTAATATATATATTAATTTATTTATTCTTTAAAAAAATATGTTTTGCTATTTTATATTTTTTTAAAATACCGTACTCTTTTAAGCTTATATTTATTTTTAGAATGAGTCAATAAAAATAGCATTTTTATAATGTTGAATTTTGTAAGTAATATCACAAAATTTAATATTATATATACTTTATTGTGAAAAGTATTCCTTTGAGTTATTATTTAATTTAAATATTGGTAAATACAAACTTGATTAAAGAACTAATATTATTGAAGTTTTTCAAGTAAAAATTTAATAAAAAACTAATATAAAGAAAATGAAGAAATGAATTTTTTTGGGAAATTACCAGAAATAACACTTTCAAGATAGCACTTTTCAACTTTACACTAACCAAATTTACCATTAAAATTTTAATAGTCAAAATGCAATTAGAATTTAGGGTTTAGGTTTTGGGTTTAGAATTGATAGTTTAGGGTTTAGTGTTGATTTTCCAGGGTTTAGGTTTTACTTTTTAGGGTTTAGAGTTTAGGGTTTAAGGTTTAGAATTGATTTTTTTAGGGTTTAGGGTTGATTTTTAGGGTTTAGGGTTTACTTTTTAGGGCATAGAGTTTAGAATTGATGTTTTAGGGTTTAGGGTTAATATTTTATTTAATATTTATTTTATGTATATATATAAAGAACAAGGATATAAGAGTCTTTTATCCTTTAATAAAATGTGTATTTTTGAAAATGTTCATTTGTTGATGGTAAACATGAAAAGTGATACCACCAAAATGGTATAATTGAAATTCTCCCAATTTTTTTTTCTATTAGGTAGTAAAAAATAAAAAAAATGCCTAAAGTATAACAAAATGTATAAAAAATGAAAAACAGAAGGAAGTTAACGGTTGGGACTTAAGTTACATATCACTAATGAATTTTGAAACTAACAGAACTGACATGTAAGATTGCATCTACTTTTGTATAAGAGTATCCACATCAGTGAATCTCTCCCCAGAGATTCACACAAATAACTTTTTTTTTTTTCGTTTACTTTAAAAAAAAAAAATTGATAATGGATCAATCAGAGACTGACACGTGGTGAACCCGGTTTATCGAGGGTCACCGCAGTGAACTTTTGAGAGAGGGGTTCATAAAAATATAATTTTAATATTAATTCTTTTTTTTTGGTTTGCATGTGAACTCCCCCATCATCCCTTGATGGAGTGCTCTAAGAGACTTTTATAAGTTAGCCTGTGGCAGGAGCCACACCTTATGAAGGCTTGGATCCGCCGGCCCAGGTTTGCTTTAAATTGTTTTAGCTTTTGTCAACAAATGAAAAAGTGGTTTATGCTTCTTCTCCACCATATACAATAGTTTTAACATCTAACTAGATCTCAACTCGCGCAACCGCACGAGATTTTGTTTTCATTTATTTTTATATAAATATTTTGGATTTCTTCCTAAATTGGTATATATTATATGAGGTGTATATATCAATATTTTTAATAACTAACAATTTTACCATATATTAATTTTCATCGAATATATTATTTCAAAATTTCACATATATTTGTATCGTCTTCTATATATATATATATATATATATATCTATATATATATTGGATTATTATTTCATTATGGAAATCTTAAATATATGTAAAAGTTGGTAAAATATTGTTTTGTTGTCATCTCTAAAGATATTGTAACATTTTTCAAAATTTATAAAGTTTACCAAAACTTTAAATGTTAGCTTCATATTATGGAGTATATAATTAGACAATTAGTTTTTGTTATTTTTAAAGTAAAGTATATAATTTAAAATTTGTTTTCATTGGTTTAAGGTAGTATAGATTAATTATTGTTAGAAAATGATGATTTTTTTTTAAAAAAATAAAGTATATAATTCAAAAGTTAACATCGAAAATATATAAATAATTAATTTATACTATTATAACATTAAATTATATAAATTTAATTTAAACAAGTATTTTTTATACTATCCATAAATCTAATGTATCACTTAATTATTATTAGCCCAATAATTTTTTTTTGTAAGCCCAATAAATGTTATAAATGAACCCAATAAATGTTATTACTGATTGAATAATGTAATGTTATAAATTCTAATAGATGATCCATTTTAAAATATCACACATGAAGTGAAGTCATGACTTCTCTTTTAATATATAAGATTCATTGCTAA